GGAAGGAAGGAAGGAAGGAAGGAAGGAAGGAAGGAAGGAAGGAAGGAAGGAAGGAAGGAAGGAAGGAAGGAAGGAATAGCAATAGCCCTTAGACTAATATACTGCTTTGCAGTGCTTTACATCCCTCTCTAAGCAGTTTACAGAGTCAGCCTCTTGCCCCCAACAATCTGGGCCCTCATTTTACCCACCTTGGAATGATGGAAGGCTGAGTCAACCTTGAGCCTGGTGAGATTCAATCTGCCAAATTTCAGGCAGCCGGTAGTCAGCAGAAGTAGCCTGCAGTACTACACTCTAACCACTGCACCACTGAGGCTCAGTGATGGAAGCCAAAAGCCGACATGAGTTAATCCAGGGTGAACTTTCTTCCAAGAAATTTGGAGCAAATCCCTAGGAATCTTGAGCAACTTAAACAAGACTGATTTTTGCACCCATCTTAAAAAGGCTTCTGTTTGTACAAGCATTTGGAATCCAAGTCTTGTTTGGGGGCCACAAGCTCAGAGATACAGGTAGTCCTTCAAAGTTAAAACAGCTCTGGAAAAAGTGACTTATGACCATTTTTCACACTTACGACCATTGCAGCATCCCCACGGTCATGTGTGCAAAACTCAGGTGCTTGGCAAACTGACTCATATTTATGATGGTTGATGTGCCCCTTTTGCGACCTTTCGACAAGCAACGTCAACGGGGGAAGCCAGCTTCACTTAACAATCCTGAGAGTAACTTAACAGCTGCAGTGATTTACTTAACCACGGTGGCAAAATAAGGTTATATAACGGGGCAAAATTCACTGAAGCGCCATTTTGCTTAGCAACAGAAATTTCAGGCTCAATTGTGATCATAAGCCAAGGATTACCTGTATTTTATTCTGCAGTTGTCATCCACCTTTCTGAGTTACAGTTTTGTACCTACTGATCTTGGTGTCAACTCAAAAATATTTCTCTGGTCTGTTAGAGTTGCCAGCAGAAAGGGAGTGGAGGAAGTAAGGCATACATTAAATATTTTCACAGATAATTGCTAGGCGGCCGAATGATGTGCAAGATTATTACTGGAGAGCATGATTGGTGACTCTTGGCTATGGATGTGTCCCATTGGAGAATATACATCCAGGGGGTGGGAGAAGATCAGGGTCAACGGTGAAATGAATGAGAATAGCATAGCATAGCATAGCATAGCATAGCATAGCATAGCATAGCATAGCATAGCATAGCATAGCATAGAATAGAATAGAATAGAATAGAATAGAATTCTTTATTGGCCAAGTGTGATTGGACACACAAGGAATCTGTCTTGGTGCAAATGCTCTCAGTATACATAAAAGAAAAGATACATTCGTCAAGAGTCAAGAATCATAAGGTATGACACTTAATGATAGTCATAGGGTACAATAAGCAATCAATCGTACTAGGAAAAAGGCCAATATAAATCTTAAGGATACAAGCGGCAAAGGTACAGTCATACAGTCACAAGTAGGAAGGGATGGGTGATGTGGAATGATTAGAAGATTAATAGTAATAGTAGTGCAGACTTTGTAAATAGTTGAACGGTGCTAAGGGAATTATTTGTTTAGCGGAATGATGGCATTTGGGGAAAAACTGTCCTTGTGTCTAGTTGTTCTGGTGTGCAGCGCTCTATAGCGTCGTTTTGAGGGAAGGAGTTGAAACAGTTTATGTCCAGGATGTGAGGGGTCTGTAAATATTTTCACAGCCCTCTTTTTGACTTGTGCAGTATACAGGTCCTTGATGGAAGGCAGGTGGGTAGTAATTGTTTTTTTCTGCAGTCTTAATTATCCTCTGAAGTTTGTGTCTGTCTTATTGGGTTGCAGAGCCAAACCAGACAGTGATAGAGGTGCAGATGACAGACTCCGTAATTCCTCTGGAGAACTGGATCAGCAGCTCCTTGGGCATTTGAGCTTTCTGAGTTAGCGCAGAAAGAACATTCTTTGTTGTGCTTTTTTGATGGCGTTTTTGATGTTACATGTCCATTTTAGGTCATGTGATATAATAGAACCTAGAAATTTGAAGGTCTCTACTGTTGATACTGTATTGTAAGAGGTGGTAGAATGGGAGGGTTTCTTTTGTGAGTGCAGATGGAGCATTCTAAAACAGGCAATTTTAAGCAGGAAAATTTACCTTATCTTCACTGTTGGTGAGTAAATCAGCGAGCCACTGCAAATCAGCTGAGATACAAACAAAGGAAATATAGGACGCGAAAGGGCGGGCATGGGTGGGTGGGGCCAACTGCTAACCGGCGCTACCGGATTGCTAGAACCGGTTGAACCGGCAGCATCCTTCCACTGCTGCTGCCGTTTCTCAAATTTGCTTCAGGTAGGAAAGACTTGTTTGTAAAAGATCCAGACGAATGTCTTAAGTTAAGGTTTGTGCTCAGTTCCTTAGTGATTTTTTTG